GCCATGTCGAGACTACGTTGGCGGGGTGACGATCACAGTGGTGGAAGATGACGCGCAACGGCCGGGATCGTCGGTGTCAGAATGCGGACAGGTGATCTAAGTTGAATGGATGACTGGCTCGGGACCGTGTTGGAAATTGATGGCGAGTTCGCCCTCTTGCTATGTGTCCGAAATTGGATTTAACGTGGGTTTCGCGTTGGAAAATTCAACGCGCGTTGAATTCTCGTTCAATCCCCGTTTGAACATGCGTTGGACGGGGAAAAACGGGTTCCGCAATGATTTTTTTCCTAGGCTAAATATAATTGGAAAAAAAAAAAAAAAAAAGGGGTCGTAGATCTTTTTGAGGTCTATGACCCCATATTCTTATTTTTATTTTTTGAGTTTTTAATATCTTTTTAAAAAATTAAAAACATAAGCACAATGAAAAAACAAAAACAAGAAATGACATGAATTTTTTTTTTTTTTTGGTTTGACAGAGATTTTTTAAGGGCTAAAAAAAAAACAGAAAAATAAAATAAAAAATATAGGGTTGTATATCTGTCAAAGATGTACAACAATTTTTTTTTTTTTTTTTTTTTATAACGTCGTGTATTTAAAAAAAAATCAAAACCATAAACAACATATTTTTTGGCCTGCATTGCTTAGGTAATCTTGCTGGGCAGACTCCCTGTTGGGTAGACTCCGTGATTTGGCCTGCTTCGTTCACTGTTTTTGTAACCACCACCATCAAATCATTTGTGATCTGATGGCTAGGAAGCACTCTGCCGTGATTTCCAGTGGGACGTCTCTGGTTTTTTTTTTTTTTTTTTTGCCTTTCTCCTGTTTTCTCAGCCCAAAAACTCGTAATGAACCTGTCAGGCCGCCGCCACTCAGTGTCACACTTGATCTGCCATACTCCAATCCGTCTGCTAATGGGACCATGCCCCTGGGGTGTGTTCCCATTAGCAGTCCGATAGAAGCGTGGCTGATCCAGTGTGACAATGAGTGGCAGCGGCTAGACAGGTTTATTACGAATTTCTGGGCTGAGAAAAGAGGAAAAAGACCACACACACAAAAAAAGAAACAGAGACCTCCCACCGGAAATCACCGCACAGTGCTTCCCAGCCATCAGATCACAAATGATCTGATGGTGGTGGTTGCAAAAACAGTGAACAAAGTAACCGCCAGACTTCTGACAGCAGTGATCCTGATACCCTCCATATACTTTGTGATTGAAGGAGGGCTCCACCCAATGAGATAATTGCACAACAACAAGTAAAATGCTCAAAATCTTCTATCCAGTGGGCTAAGGCCGACCCCAACCTCGTTTGGGGTTGGCCACACATCCAACCGATTGAAAAGATTCTAGCGGGAAGCTGTCTTTCCACGGGCATGCCCAGTGTTAAGAGAGGAGGAGGGGAACTAAGATCTCCTGACTTTTTCGAGTAATACATGTAAAACACTGACCGTGGGATCACGAGTACTGCACGGCAGGATTTGGGTCACTCAACTGCCACACAAACTCTTTTTTATCATATCCGGTTGCTAGTGGGACCATGCCCCTGATGCTTGTCACTGCTGTCTGGTCGAAGTTGCCCTCAATATTGGTAGGGTGATGGTCCTGAGTGCTGGTCACAGTGAGGTAGGATAGTAGGGACAGGGGGTGTGATGGGAGTATTAACGTGGGGATGGGTAGGGTAGGTGGCCTATCCCAACAGGACAGCCATTTGCTGTTGCTACCAGCAATCACCACGGGTCTGGTCCTTGGCCTCTACAACAACCTGGGCTTTCAAAAAAAAAAAAAAAAAAAAAAAAAAGGATTTTAAACAAAAAAAAAAAAAAAAAAAAAAAAGGGATCTTCTGCTAGAACGTGGAATAATACACCGCCATATGTTTTGTCTTTTGTGCATGTGGTGAGTAGAAGCCCTTAGGGCCACTGCACGTATTCCTAAAAAAAGAAAAACGAGAAAAAACAGAAGAAAAATGAGAAAACAAAAAAAAAAACGAGAAAACAAAAGAAAGAAAAGAAAAAAAACAACAACGAGAAAACGAAGAATTTGTGACCCATAACTAAGCTGCACAGACTGCCACTGACTTGAATTCGAATCCAGACTATATATTCTCGGGCCACAAAGGCAGTCTCCAAGTCTCTGCTCCACGAAGGGTCCTTGCTAATCCATTGGGACCCTTCGGAAATGAGATTGGACGACTAGATTGCAACATTTGTAAAAAAAAATAAAAAAAAAGAAGGAAATGCACCCACATGCACACACATGTGCTCACAGTCTTGGGGTATGGGGTGACCCTTACTTTTTTTCCCTCTTGCAGTTTGAATTTCGGGAGGGAGGGGCATGTTTGGCCACCCCACCCTGTTAGTAGGGGTCATTTTTTTTTTTTTTTTTCTTGTTTTTAGTGTTTGGGTACGTAGGGCCACGTGTCCGAGGCCCAACGCGCTGGTTCCGTTTTTCAAAATTCAACGGAACACCCCCGTTTTCGCGTTAAACGCGATTAAACAGGGAACCCCAGACACACAACCCTCTTGGTTGCGAATATATTCTTTGGTGTGACTTTGCGGCGAAAAAGCCGAACCTTCCTTCCCTTCCTCCATCTCAGTGTAATTTTTCCTCCGATCTAGATTCCTCCTTATCTTTCTTCCTTCGTTATGGATGAATCTATGTAATAAGTCAAAATTGGCGTGTGAAGGAATGAGTGTGATGACTGTGTTGAAATGGTTTCTTCCGGAACTCTTCCATTGGTTTCCTGGGTAGTCCCCTGAACTAATGGATCTTGTCTTGTGAATGGTGGATGCGCGTGTATCGATCACCAAAGATCTTCCCTTAGCGTCGCCTTGTTGGGAAATTGCATGATTGTCATTTTCGCACCTTCCACAATAAATGCATGCATGGGAAATGAGAGTGAACGGGTACGAAACCCATCTTGATTAGGGCGAGTCGATGACAGGGGCAATGTTGTTGGGATTTGGAAATGCAAGAATGCTTTGATTTGTGATTTTCGAAGGTATGTTGCGAGTACATATGCGACGCACGATCTAAGCACAAAATAGTGACCGCGTCTCGCCACACGTGACCCTGTCTTTCTCTTTCTCCGAACTCTCTGTTTCTCCTATCTGTCCTTTCCGATTGATTTGATAGGATTGCATGCATACGATGAATGGTTAAATCACTCCTGATTGTTTGCCATGTGGACTGACGGGTTCAATTTGACTAGCCGTCAGCCTCCCGTATCCCCTCTCCGCCCTTTCCCATATAACGAGGATAGGACGCGTATCTGTGAGTGGGACATACGATAAGTTGTCGCAAAGATCGGTGGGCAGTACTATTTCCCTCCTGAAAATCAGTGTTCCGCGTTCGTAGGTGCTGGGTTTGTCATTGTGGATACGCACTTTCCGCCGTACTCGCTATTGCTCCCCTTTAACGAGTTGATCGTCATCTCGTGGTCGGCAGTGGCACCCCATTGGCCTAATACCTTGTGTAGTGATTGCCAACGTCTATATCACTACCAGTCGAAGGGATTCCATTACTGAACGCGAAACGAGGACGAGTACAAGGAAAGAGCCACGCGATTGAGACCCTCCACGTCGGATTCAGAATTGTGTAACGTGCGGCATCGGGAGATCGTGTAAAAACGGGATACTAAACACGTACCCGCTCCCTTCCACCCCAAACGACGAGCCGTGGCCCGGTGGGGAGTCCGACAATACTTTTTGGATTGAATTCAAAACTTCCCCGCGTCGCGAAACCCGCGCGCGCCGAAACCCGCCAGACCGCTCACTTCATCAGACCAACCAAAGGGATTTCAGTTTTGTCTGTGTCCCCACACTCAACTTTCCAAAAATCGTTGGCACACCCCATCTTGCTGTTTTTCGGGGCCTTCTTTCCGCACCTTTAGCACTCTGAACGGAAAGCAGCGCAGGGCATGAGGTTGCGCATCACACACGGCTCCAAGCGGTACCTCCCTCCTCCTCTTGAGATCATTGCAGGCTCTGATATCGTCCGCACAGGCCCTGGACTCAGGCTACTTGGACTAGTACCCGGCGACCCGCCTAAACCTAGCCTATCCCTAGGGGGCCTCTAAAAATACAAACTTTTTGTCTTTTTCTGCTCAGCCTACCGCTACTCAAGTACCTACGGGCCTACACCACTGCCACTTGAGTGTGCTCTAAGCTGCCCCTTCGGGCACGTGAGTGTGCCCTAAGCTATACCCCTTCTGACACTTGAGCGTTTTACCCGGCTGCAACCCCAGAGTCACGACCACAGGTAAGTGTCGGCCCCACGGGTCTCCCAAACAAACAACTGCCCTGGGAGGCCAAACGCACACTCAGGCCGACAAGCACTCACTGACAAACAGGTACGCAGAACAGCAAACATGCACACACACAGACTTAGAAAACTTAGCAGAAAGCGGGAACCTCAACAAGGCATATACATTCCTGCGACAAAACTCATAAAATCAGTTGTGTTCTTTGTCCGTGTTTTGGTAGGTCCTTACACCTACCTTCTTCACGGGAATACAACGTAATATGGTAATTGTAGCCGTACTTGGGGTATCTTTCAGTCTAAATACAACAATATTAATGACTAATCAGCTGTGTTCTCAGTCCGTGTTTTGGCAGGTCCTTAAAAAAAAATCAGTTGTGTTCTCAGTCCGTGTTTTGGCAGGTCCTTACACCTATCTTCTTCACCCAAATAAAACGTAATATGGTCATTGTAGCCGTACTTGGGGTATCTTTCAGTCTAAATACAGCAAAAATGACTGTAGCCTGTAGGTTGTATTCAGGTGAAGAAGGTAAAAAGTTACCATGCAATCAAACCTGTAACAGTTGGACATACAGACTCTCGATCCCCGAGGTCACTGAACTCAAGCGTCAGCTTGAGAAGCTCCTGAGACTGGGTTTCATTAAACCCAGCAACTCCCCGTGGGGTGCACCCGTTCTCTGTGCTCGCAAAGCGGATGAAACCCTGCATCTCTGCATCGACTATCGCGGTCTCAACCGCTACACGGTTAAGAACAGCTACCCCATGCCTCGTTCCGACGAGATGTTCGACTAACAGGCAACCGCTTCTTTATGAAGATTGATCTTTGTAGCGGTTACCATCAGACCCGCGTCGCTGCAGCGGACCAGCCGAAGACAGCGTTTCGATCGCGCTTCAACCACTACGAGTTTACGGTGATGCCATTTGACCTCACCAACGCACCCGCTACCTTCCAGAGGGCGATGAACGACATCTTTAGGGACATCCTGGAGCAGTACGTTCTCGTCTACCTCGACGATATCTTGGTCTACAATTGTACCCTTGAGGAGCACCTCAGACACCTCCGCGACGTCCTTGACCGCTTGCGCAGACATGCCTTCTACACCAAGTTGAGCAAGTGCCTCTTTGCCCAGCACAAAGTGGATTTCTTAGGACACTACGTATCTAACCAGAGTCTCCACATGGATGACGCGAAGATCACTGCTATTGCAGAGTGGCCCGCCCCCACATCCGCCAAGCAGCTTCGCAACTTCCTAGGTCTTACCAGCTACTATTGTAATTCCATCCAGGGATACGCTAGGTATTCCTACGTCCTTACCTCCACCCTCCCCTGGAAGAACCCGCCCTGGGCTTGGACACCCCTCCACGAGGACGCCTTCCGCGCCCTCAAGAAGGCGGTGACATGCGCACCGGTTCTTCACCTACCCGATTTTGATCGCCCTTTTATCCTTACCACCGATGCGTCAGACTTTGCTGTAGGAGCAGTGCTATCTCAGGTCTTCCCCTCCTCCTCTGATTCCTCTCATCCTCGTATCCCTCGCTTCCCACCACCTACCCCTACCACTGCTTCCCGACTTACGCCTACTCGTCCAACTACTGACGAGCCTTCTATTGACTATTCTCCTACCATCGTCGAGGACGGCACTGTCGAGTCTCGCTCAGGTGATTGTCCGATAGTCTTCTACTCTCGTCAGTTTCTGCCCGCTGAGATAAACTACACTGTTGATGAACGTGAGGTTCTCGCAGTAGTTTATGCCGCTTGGCACTGGTGTTACTACCTGCACGGGGCACCATTCACCGTGCACACGGACAACTCCGTTGTCCAGGCTTTTCTGACAACACCGAAGCTCACTCCTCGACAGGCTCGCTGGTGGCGCGACCTATCCGAGTTTAGTTTCACCACTTAGCACATCAAGGGTGAGACTAATCGGGTCGCAGATGCCTTATCCCGGCGCCCTGACCACGACCAGGAGCAGATCCAGCTCTCGTCCATCTCGGTCAACACTGTTCACCACTCGGTGATCGACGAGTTTCGCACTCAGTACCGCCACTGCCCCGACTATCGCGACATCCACGCGCCCCTTCGGAGTGGCAAGACCGTCTCGAACTACTCTCTCGGGGACAACGGTCTTGTGTACTGGCACGGTTCATAGGGCACCAGAGAGCCCCGTATTTGCGTTCCCTCCACTGGACAGCTACGTGTCCGATCAGTAGCAGAGTTCCATGACCAGGCAGCTGCCGGTCATATGGGCTTCCACAAGACGTTGGCTCG